ACCTCAGGTGATCCACCCGCCTCGGCCTCCAAGGTGCTGGGATTACAGGCGTGAGCCACCGTACCCGGCCACTGAGAGAGTTAAGTGTTATCATAAGTAAGTATGTAAGGTAATACATATGTTAATCAGCTTGATTTAGCCATTCAACAATGTATACATGTTTCAAGACACTATGTTGTACATGATAAATATATAAATTTTTAATTTGTCGGTTAGTAAAACAGAACCCAGAGCTAGCAAACTAATGTGTAGTATGGAACCACTCTTACAGTTCTTTCTCTAGCTTTTCCCTTTTTCTTTCCTTAATATCTGTAATAAGCTGATGCTAAAGGACTAAGCCGACAACTCTCATTTGAATCCTAGGCAAAATACTGGAGCACTAACGCCCATGAGATTGAAGGCACAGTGTTTGACAGAAGTGGAAACGCAGTTCATCGGCTGTTTGGGAAATGGCATGAAAGCATCTACTGCGGTGGCTCCTCCTCTTCTGCTTGTGTATGGAGAGCAAGTGAGTGTCTGGGTTTGTGGACCCCAGGCTGCGAGTGGGTGCGTGAGTGGGCATGGCAAAAGAAGCCACAGAGGACAGGAGCGGTGTCTGTTCAGCATCTCCAGCCTCTTCTGCTTTGAACTCGGTTAGAGGTGTTGGCCCTCTTCCTTCATCCAGTCTTCACCTACTTGTCATGCTTACTTATAGCAACACCTCTGTTGGGCTGCTGGGTCCCGGGTTCTTAACCCCAGAACAAGCATTGCTAATCCATGGGCATTCTCCGAGGGAATCTTGCAGTCCGCATGCGTAACTATACTGGGTACTATGAAAGAATATCAGTGAGATGCAAGAAGTCATTCTGCAGCAAGGACAAAGAGGAAAGTGTTCCTGGAAAAGCAGTGACCCAGGAGACCTACAAAAGCTAGCTATCCCCAGGCTGACCTAACCCCAGAAGCCGTCCTCATCACTCCTGTGATTCCAGAGGGTGCTGAGCTCTTGGAGCAGATACGGGCAGAAGAGCTAGGGAACCTCAGCTTTCATCAGCATGTCCCCACCACACTTTAACATCTTACTCCCTCTTCTCAGTCCAAAAATTATGTTGTTTCCAAGTCACAGCCATATTGTAAACCATTGTTTGTTAGGATGCTTTAGGTTGGTAAAAAGCAAACAGAAAACCATTTGACTGGTGGCTTCAACTGTTAGGCTGTGTGCTATTACGTAACAGTAAGTGAGGCGGTGGGTGGCCCCAGGGTTCTTACATAGGCAACTTACCTGTATCAAGGGCACACGGATCAGTGCGAATACATTCTGCCACTCCCAGTGTGCTGTGCTGTTTCCCCTAATGGATGCAAAATGGTTGTTACCATTCAATGTCATACCCCTGCATGACAGTGTACCAAGCACGTATTGAGAGGACAAAAGAGCTTTTCTCTCTTGTGCCTCTCTTTTCTCAGGAACATTTCCTAGGATCCCCCAGCAAATAGGACTTGACATCATGTCAGCCTGCAGTGGGTTCAGACCCATCCATGAACCAGTCATGGGCAACAGGGTAGGCAAGAGAGATTTAGATGTCTTGGAGTAATCGCCAGTAAGGGAACAATGCCATTTGAACAGAATCAGTATCCTGTTAGCAAGCAGGAAAGAGAAATGATGGTCAAGTAGGCAGGCAGCCAGCAGTGGCTCTTTCGATGGGTAGCTGCCACATCTCCCACTGTTGCAGAGGTTGCCATGAAGTTAGAATGAACTGGCACCAGTGGAAGCCTTCCTAGCTTCAGAGGCACACATGAGATTCTGCAAATGGCACAATCTGTCTCCTTTGCTTAAAGTATGCGTCACAGATGAGAACTACCATCCTGTCTCAATGTTAAAGTACCACCTTGATAAAGCGACACGGTTTAAATTTTTGTTACCGTCATTATTCCTTGACTTTATGTCTCTCTAATGGCAATGAGCATCTCTGGCCCATCTTTAAGAAAAAGCACCTTTACTCCCTGGTTACTGGGTTGCTGACCAAGACACCACAGGAAACTTTGCTACTATTTTTATGCTTAGGGACACACAGAGAATTAGACTAGTTACAAGGAGGACTTCTGAAGATTCAAAAAATTGGTCCCGGTTGGGCATGGTGGCTCACGGCTATAATCCCAGTGCTGTGGGAAGCCAAGGCGGCAGATTGCTTAAGGCCAGGAGTTCGACACCACTCTGGACAACATGGTGAAATCTCATCTCTACTAAAAATACGAAGATTAGCCAGGCATGGTGGTGTGCATCTACTGTAGTCCCAGCTACTCGGGAGGGTGAGGCATGAGAATCACTGAAACCCTGGAAGTAGAGGTTGCAGTGAGCCGAGATCTTTCACTGTACTCCAACCGGGGTGGACTGAGACCCTTTAATTTAAAAGAAAAGGTCTGCAGAAGAGTTCTTGGAAAGCATTTCTCTTGTTATGTGTGAAGAGCTTAGACTATAAGTAGATCTTAGTAGTCTACGTTGGATTTATTCAATATATAAATTTGAGTATGTTTAGCTTGAAAAGCTGGAATTCCAGTTAGGGCAATGCACCTAATGGTTTAAAGATGTAAGATTAGGGGGAGGCAAGAATTGGTAAAAAGGGCAGGAATGGAAGAAAAGAATAACATTTATTAACCATTTTCTATGTGTTCAGCACTGTTGTAGGTACTAAACAGAGTTTCAGAATAATTTGACATCACTTAAAAACAGATTCTCTAGAGTGAGAATCAGGAAAAATGGACCCAGAGCTTATATTAGTATGTTTATTTATTATTTTTATTTTATTTTTGAGACAGAGTTTCTCTCTTGTCACCCAGGCTGGAATACAATGATGCAATCTTGGCTCACTGCAGCCTCTGCCTCCCAGGTTCAAGTGATTCTCCTGCCTCAGCCTCCCAAGTAGCTGGAATTACAGGCACCCGCCACCATGCCTGGCTGAGTTTTGTATTTTTAGTAGAGACAGTGTTTTGCCATGTTGGCCAGGCTGGTCTCAAACTCCTGACCTCAGGTGATCTGCCTGCCTTGGCCTCCCAAACTGCTGTGATTACAGGTGTGAGCCACTGCGCCCAGCCTAGCATATTTATTTTAAAATCAAATTATTTTCATAGCTTAAGCACTACAGAAACTTCACAGCATTGTATAAATTTGCTTTCTGAACACACTTAGGAGGCTACATCCCTGTAGACAGAAGAAAAATTATAGAAAAGAAAATGTGTAGAGAAATGTTCAGCGCCTGTTCATTAGTCAGAATATTTTAACAGAAATGGAAGGGAGTGAGAGAGAAAAATTGTAGCGAGGCTGAGATGAAAAAGGTGAAGGAATTAAAATGTAACATAAGCGACATGCAAGTTAGGGCTGAATGATTTATTTTCTTCTTAGATCCCATGCCGAAAGGCTATGAGCAATACTATGGCTTCACACAGTTTGCGCTGGAATTAAATGAAATGGATCCGTCGTCAAAGTCTTTATTACCACCTACTGACACTCGATTTAGGCCAGACCAGAGGTAAGGATTTTTTTAAAGATTTTTCTCTCCAGAGATGTAAAACCCTTTACAAAAAGTCTTATTAGCAATCGTCGGGCCACCAGAGGCACCTGAGAAAGGTGGAAAATGTCATCAGGAGTTGAGAGGTGGGGACGCTTTAAGCAATTGTGTCACGGAGGAGCTGGGGCCCAACTCGAATCCACGAATCCACGTGTGGCATGACGTTTGTTATCCGTAAAGCCCCATTTCCATTGAAATGCCAAAAAGGGTGTTTATTTTGAAGAGTTTTACTGCATGCAATCATAAAGAACTTAGTGTGTATTTGAAAGGGTGGAAACATCCAGCTCCCCGAGCCCTCAGATTTAAATGATTTTGGTACACTGAGATCTAACTACTGCTTTCTAGGTTGCTGCTTACAGGGTGTGTGATATATGGTAGGTCTTTTCATCTTTCCCAGCCTCAGTTTCCTACTCTGTAAAATGGAAATAATAATGTCTCCCCTAAGGTCTTTCTAATTAAGACTGAAAATCTAGAAGCCCAAGGAAAGAAAAGATTGTTACATTTGGGCTTTATTAAAAACAAACACCACTTTGGGATGCCGAAGCGGGTGAATCACTAGAAGTCAGGAGTTTGAGACCAGCCTGGCCAATGTGATGAAACTCCATCTCTACTAAGAATACAAAAATTAGCCAGGCATGGTGGCATGTGCTTGTAGTCCCAACTACTTGGGAGGCTGAGGCATGAGAATTGCTTGAATCCAAGAGGAGGAAGTTACAGTGAGCCAAGACCATGCCATTGCACTCCAGCCTGGGTGTCTCAGTGAGACCCCACCCGCCCCCCAAAAAAACCAAACAAACATAAGCCCTTCTTTATGGCAAAATAAATAAAACTATATAAGGTCAAAAGATAAATGATAAACAGAGAAGTCCATATCTGCAACTCGTATCATGAATTGCCTCTAGAAATCTAGTAATAGATCGGTGGTAAATTCATTTTGCAGGGATTGAACACTGTCGTTAGCAAGCACCTAAAAAAGATGTGAAACTATTTACATATGTCAGCTGTAACAGTAGGTCCCAAATGGGCCCATTCCCCTAATTTATTTTAAAGAAAGCCACACACAGAATGCTTCAAGCTATCTTGCTATGCACATTCTGCTTGTACCGTTTCATACAGTTTGTCTACTTTTTTCGGGAAGTATTTTTTTGTATAAAATCTGTTACAATTGTATTTCTTAAATCAAACCTAAGAATGGAGTTAATTTGAAATATACACTATATATTAATAACGTATATGGTATTTAAAGGATGGTAAGCATTGTTAATGTCTATAATGAACATTTTCAATTAAATTTATCTTAAGCTTGTGTTAACAAAAAAAAAAGAAAAAATGGACATAGGAAAATGAACAGTCCACAAAATAGGAAATGCGGCTATCCCTTAAACATCTGGAAAGATTCTCAACCTTAGTCATAATAAGAAAAATGCAAATTTAAAAATCATGTCGACATCCTATTTTTTAACCTATCAGACTGACAAAAATTCAGAAGTTTTATACATTCTGAGGTGATGGGAGAAAAGGGCACTCTCAGCATTGCTGATGGGAATATAAAATTGCTATAATCCCCACAAAGGGCCGTTCAGTAATATATAAATTACACACTCACCCTTTCACCCACTTCTAGAAATTTCTCCTGCAGATTTTTCCTACTTACTCATGTAAAATGGTGGATATTCAAGGTCATTTATTGCAGCATTGTCACATTAAAAAATTGGGAACAATTCAAATGTCTATCCATAGGAAATTGTCTAAATTCAGATACATCCACACAACTGGATATTATGTGGCTATTAAAAAATAAAGATGTCTATGTATGTCCGTTGTAAGATCTCTAAGATATATTGTTAAATAAAAAGTAAACCAAAACAAAAAATCAAGGAATACATAGCATGCTACCATTTATATTTTTTAAATGGAGGGAAGGGTAAGAATATGTATTAATATTTGTTTATATACACATGAAGAATCTCTAGAAAGATGCAGAGGAAAATAATAAAGTGGGTTTTCTAGGGTGGGAGGGTGAAGGTGACTGGAATTAGAGACCAGGAGGAAAGGAAGACTTTGCCCCAAATTCTTTTTTGTAGATATAATTTTTGAATTGTGTAAATATCACCAATTCAAAAAATGTCTTCTCTGACTACTTCAGGATACTAATTAAAGGGTTGGGGGCAGAGTCTTACGTATAGGAACGGATTTTGAATATCCAGTTGTGGACACATACAAGTTGAGTAGTAATGATTGTTTTGTTTTCTTGAATTCATATCCTTTCATTTTTTTTTTTCCTCAATGCCTCAGGTTTCTAGAAGAAGGGAACTTAGAAGAAGCTGAAATACAAAAGCAGAGGATTGAACAACTACAGAGAGAAAGGCGGCGGGTCTTAGAAGAAAATCACGTGGAGCACCAGCCTCGGTTTTTCAGGTTCGTGCCCGGATTGAGTAGGTTTTTGGTTGATAGGTGGTGCCAGCACGTTATGCTTCTGGTTCACAGCAAGTAAACAGCGCTGTCCCCAGATGAGAGCATTCTCCAGGCTTTTCCTGCTTCCGCCTGGGGGAACTGCTCCTCTGTGCCAGGCCCTTCCCTGGCGCTTGCCTTCAGGGCCTCCCTCTTTCTGACTTCAGGCAGGACGAGGGACTGTGTTTTTGCATTCCTTGAGCTTTCCCAGTGCCTCAACCAATGAGTTTTCAGAGGAGGTCCTCAGTCAGGGAGCCTGCCAGAGCTGGGTGCCAGTGCCAGGCCAGCTTATTAAATTCACAGCTAAGGTTGGTCACCCCCATAGGCACATTTTACACCATGACAGAGATCATTCACGATCACTCCACAGGTAAGCAGTACGGAAATTCCAAGCAGTCTGTTTCTTGCATTGTAGAAGTTCCAATACACTTGGGCTTGCATTTACTGTTATCTTTAAAATAACTTGCCAAGAAGGTCTTGTTAAAATAGATTTAATTTTTTTTTTTTTTTTGAATACAGAATCTTGCCCTGTTGCCCAGGCTGGAGTGCAGTGGTGCCATCTTGGCTCACTGCAGCCTCCACCTCCTGGGTACAAGCCATTCTCCTGCCTCAACCGCCCAAGTAGCTGGGACTACAGGTGCACGCCACCATGCCCGGCTAATTTTTGTATTTTTAGTAGAGACGGGTTTCACCATGTTGGCCAAGATGGTCTCAATCTCCTGACCTCGTGATCCACCCATCTCAGCCTCCCGAAGTGCTGGGATTACAGGTGTGAGCCACCGCGCCCGGCCAATAGATTTAAATTTTTAAAGGAGGTATGAGAGATCTTCAACCCTTCACCTCCCCATCTCCTCCTATAACTGAGTAGAAGAGAAAGCCTAAGGCAGGGAGGGGATCTGTTGAAGGACTTGGTATAATACCCCGGAATGGGGCTTGACTCTCCTCACTACGAGGCCAGGGCCTATATCATTTTAGTTTTTCTCTTCTTTTTTTAAAAAAGTTAAATAGGCATATGTGAAAAAGCAGCAAGTTCCTGCTCTGCTCCATCTGCCCAAGTCCTTCCAGGGCCACCAGTGTCTTTTCATCGTTTGGGGATGTTTTTTGTGTTTTTGTTTGTTTTTAGTGGACAACAGAAGTACTTTTATGAGGATTTAGTTATTAATAACAGCAGCAGTAATAAAATATGTATTCCAAAACATCAAAATAGTAACAAATAAGGTTTTGTCTCGAAGAATATGATGTTCTTTTCCCCAAAGTTGATGTAGATTCTACTAGATCTCTTCTGATCATTTCCACAAATTCACGATATCAGTGATTGAAAATCAACTGGCCAAAATTTCATCCTGAAATATTCAGGCTTCATTTAAACATTTAAAGAATAAGATGGAAATGTTACATTCTTTTTTGAAAAAGGCAAGAAATAGAAAAATGGATAGATTAACAGACTGATCAGTTGATTTACTGATCAGTTAATAGATAA